TCGATCAATTTCTAAATTCAAATATCGTTATTTTGGTTAGATTGATTTTAAATTGATGCCATTTGATATTGATTATGTATCATGAGAAAAAACATAACCTTTCGAATTCTTTAATGAATATAATAAACAACAAATATACATAAGATTGGGGAATGTCACAAATCGAAAGAGCTGATAATAAATTGAATTTAATTCCATTATATCAAAATTTGGCTACTCTCATTTCAGTAATATCAATGGAAGAAGGAGTTTTCAAAAAGTGTTCTCGTATCTTTTGGTAGCTATGTCATATCGCTCGCAATATTTTTAACAAGTTAATGATAGAAGCCAGAGTCAATCTGTATGTGATCGTACAATCTGTCAATTCATTTAACAACGACAGTTTATCATTCAATAATTGCTCTTGATTAGCATCAATAATCTGTCATCTTCAAAAATCGAGTCAAATCCTCCTTATCATCTAATACATTGTAGTCATACACTTTTGAGAGCTTTACATTTGATAGTTTTTCAATTTAATTGTTTCTATATACACAATTTGCAGCTACACGCATATACGTATAATAAATCAAAAGTGTACTATGCGAAGTAGAAGGCTCAAAATTGACAAGTTGTACAAGTTATACAAGTTATATCCCAGATAGCCAAGCGAGATTTAGCATATGTAACAAATTGATGCACTGCATATATTGTTTTCAACTTGTCGACAATTTGTTGTCATTGGAATCTAATGTGAACTGAGTTAGCATTAGGAAGGCAAATAGATTTCATAAGTTTACAAAATTGTAAGAGTATACATTGAGAAATAATAAACTCGTCATATTGACAGCAAACTGACGATACGCCATGCACACATGATGACAACGTGCCGACAGTTTGCTGAATTCTAAAGAAGACTTTACGTGACATCAAAACAACAAACAGTTTGTGAAAACCTTGGCTTTAATTTGGTGAAATTGAATGCGAAATAAGTGACAGCAAAATGGCAACATATTACCCTTATTTAGCTATCTGGGATAGACTTTTAGAGCAAAACCGTTCAATTTACTTTAAAGTCAATTTCATTGGTAATTTGGATCAAGTGCAGATTAAATTTATCTAATAGATAACTTTCCTTGGTAATTTCGACTTTGAAGTTATAGCAATAACATCATTGAAACATCAACGAACTTCTTTAAGTCAATAATTATCTAATCTTGAAAGTCTATTTGACTTTGAAGGCATAAATACAGTTCAATATAAGTTATTTATCTCAGTTATTTATCTCAGAAACTTATTACCAGACTTTGAGAGCGTTTAATAAATCAAAATTAAGTAAATTTTACCTATGAAGAATACTTCAAATGCAAATGAATTTTGTAGGTATTAATACGTTGAAATTAATAATTTTTTACCTGCAAAGAAGACCTCAAATATAATTTTACTTTTAGAACATAATTTAGGTCGAAATTTGATCATTTTTATCTTAATTAGAGCAATTTTAGGGTTGGTTAGAATACCTCGCTTTACTGCTTGGGTACATCTTCATATTACTAAAGATCTGGCTGGCTTAGGATGTGGCAA